GCTGACCGAGGAGAGGCGCCGAGCGACGGTCTCTTGTTCCAATCCCCGGGTTTTTGTTAGGTTTTCCACAGAGCTCAGCAGAATTTTTGAAGAGCAGGGAAAGTTACTCACTCGTGCCCCGAGTGCTTACAGCGCCCTGCGCGATGCAGCAGGCGTTTTCAAAGTGAGACGGTTATCCCTCACACTTCCACGCCGTCGTTTTCCGATGGTGCCAAAGGAGAGAGATGTAGTCACTGTTCCGTGCCTCCTCCATCACCTCATCGTTATTATCATAGCCTGTTTATTTTACCCATTGATCTGTTTTCGTGGAGTCAGCCCTGAAACCCCTTACTCGGGAAAACCTCTCACTGGCTCTGGATGATGTTTTCTCGGGGTAATGTCTGCACAGTGTAGATCCCTGTTGGTTCAGCGTTACAATGAGCCTGTTTTCTCAGTCCGAAATGCAGTAGCGTACTCACGGCATTGGAAACTTGGCTTTCTGCAGCTGAACATCCTCCATCCTCATTCACAGCTGCCTCCCAGAGAAGAAGGGGTGTGCACTGAGGGTGGACATTACTACAACTGTTTTCTTTCATACCAGATGTGACTTGCATAGGGCTATAACTGATTACTGTCTGTCTCTGATGGGACTCCTACATTTTTTTCTTCAGATTTACTCCGAAAAGACGCATGCTGTAGATGACTCCTTTCTGGCAATTCATAAGGCACTGAATAGTTTTTAAGGTTGTATGTCTTGTATTTAAGGTTTTCCAAGAATGTTACTGTAATTTGTTGTTGGGTGTACCCAAGAAATAATTTTGTGTTAACTCTGGTATCAGAAGCCAAATAGGCTATTATGGCTCGGCACCTCTGTTTCCTTGCATGCAGCCGCATGGTGGTAACCCATGTTTCCATGGATAAACACATGCATTCATTCACACACACTTTCTTCTTTCCGTTTTGTCTTCTGCTGCATAAACCATTAACACTGTATTTAACATTTTATTAAACATTGTTTCCCAAAAGAACAAGTAAGTTAGCTTTTAGGATCAGCAGCTGGCATGCTAGCTCATGATTAGGGTGTTTTTTTCACATCATGATATCATTTACTACATCCTCATCAATACAAATGTTTAGCTAGAAGCTATTACTGGAGCCTTCATTTCTAAATTTTCTAAATGAAGAGTGACAGCAGCGCGAGAATCTGGTGAGTCGAGCTCTTCCACACAGAGCTTCCCAATCTCAAACATGCTTTTGGACCTCCAAGGTAGTGTGGTAGTCAGAAGAGGAGAGTTATGAAGTGGCTGGGATCACTGTGTAAGCTCATGTAGAGTGGTGATATTAACAGTTGAAAGCTCAACGGAGATCAGTACAGAAAAAAAAAATTAAAAAGCAGCAAAGATCTGAGCCACAAACTGCTTTAATAATTTGAAGAAGTCAGTCTCATTACCTAAAAGAGTAAAAAGTCAGTCTATAAGTTTATGTCCTCCTTTTTTCTACATCAGACTTTAAAAATCAGAGGGTAGGCCTCAAAACCGGTGTGACTGCCCTCCATATTCTGAGTTCTTTTAAAAATAGATCTGGAGCTCACTGTATTTGTTATTGTTTTTTTCCAGTAAGTACACTATACTGAGTTCTGTTTGTAAACTACTATTTGCCATTGTAACAGCTAGAAATACAGCATATTAAAACATATAGAAGTAGAAATTCTTAACTAATCATGGGACTGCAAGAGCTGTCCAGATATGAAGACATCTGATACCCCGAAATCTGCGATAAAATCACTGCGACTAGCCCTAGGAATAGGGGAAAAAAATAGAAATGTGCCTTCATCAGCCCATGCTTTCTTGTGTACAGGATATACAAACCACCCATTAGCTGGTGTAGGAAAGGGTTAACAGCCTGACCTTCAGACAGAAGCTCTTGTTGACCCTACTCTGCAACACTTGGCTGAAAGGTTATGCCCAAAGAGAGAGCTTGCTAGCAGGAGGGAAAAATCCAGAGAGAAATACTCAGAAAAAGAATACTTTGGCTTCAGGAGTCTGGTGGCCTGGCAGAAAGCAAACCCTCATAGCAGACAGCGCAAGACTGTAGGACTCATCCACTGACAGAGCCACACACAGTGAAAAAAGGACAGCTGTTAAAGTCTGATTTGTCCATACAATTTTCCAAAAGGTTTATGGATATAAGAGAATCAGTAGTTAGCAAAACAGTTTCATATATAGTAATTCACCTGTTCAGTAGTTAGCAAAACAGTTTCATATATAGTAATTCACCTGTTCAGTAGGAAGGTACATGGAAGAGCTACCTAGTCACTGTCTTAAAGGCAGCCAGAGAAAGTCACACTATGGTATGGCACCCTGAGCTTCCAGTGGTGCGGTGCTAGTGCCTCTCCTCCTGCAGTGTGCGACAGTGTGGCTGATGCACACACGGGAAGTCCTTGTTGCAGGGTCCTTGCAGTCCTGGTAGTTATTTTACAGCCTTCAGGATGCTGTCTTTCCTGCCAGCCTAGGATTTACAGAACCATCTCTTTCAGTTTATCCATTCTCTTCCCCCTTTTTTTTTCCCCCCCCAGCTTCTGATTTCTTGTAGCCCTTAGTAGCTTAGAACCATTTCTGCTGGTACTGGTAGGTGATGAGTATTGCCAGTATACCTTGGAATATGTGAGTGAAGCTCCAGCTGGACTTTCCTGACAATCTTGAAGGGAGAACATGCCTCTAAAGCCATAGAGTGACTGTCAGGTAAACCAATCCTAAAACCTAAACAATATTAGGAACAACATATTTGCATGGGTTTCTTGCATCAGCAAGTCTCATGAACTTAAAAAAATCCATCTTCATATTTTATATGTTACTACTGTAAGCTGTCTCAAACTTATTTGTTGTAATTTAAAAACATTCAGCCTGAATTAATGCATTCATTCCACTGGTGACATGGGCATTTAGCTTAAATACTGTTTGTCATCAGTGATTTTATTCTGTTGATTCATATCCTCTCTTAGTCTCTGCTTTACTTAAAAAACAAGCTGAGCTTTTCTGTTCTCAGAGGAGAGACTTTCCTTTCCCTAGATTATCGTACCTTCTCCAGCAAATGGGTGGAGGAGAGGGAAGAAAACATTTTGAGAGAAAATAGGCCTCAAAGTTCCAGTAGGGCATTTCAAAACCTGTTTTATATCCTGTGTTTGTTTTGCAGGGAGTTTCCGCAATGGAGAAGAGGGAAGGTGATAATCGTGTCATTGATCAGAATGCAGGTCAGAGCATCATGCCGAGAAGAAATACAGGAAACCTTAGCAACTTGGTAAAGTTTCTGTTGAAAAGCAGCTCATTTGTCACACAGAATATTGCAACCTTTCATTCAATTTTGTCCCGAAACAGTGTTCCCATCACACTGGCATATCATCAATATTCTAAAGTCTTGTCACAATATTGACATGAAGAGATAAAAAGGTAAAGAGCATCTCATTCAATTTAATCACAATCCATGACAAAAAATACATAAAGTTTGGGCGAGCTAAAAACTACATGAGGTTGGTTACTAGTTGCATTTTACCAGATGAGCAAAGCTCTGTAGAAAGAATGTGGGATTTTTATACAGGAATATAAAATTTATCTTTGGAGGAGTCTTCATAATTGCATCGTACTCAGTCATTTTTCCACCCCACACAAAAAAAAAATCCAGAAAAAAAAAATCCACTTGAAGAGCATTTGCCTCTGCAACTGCTGATGCAACGGAAGTAGTTCAAGCTACAACTTTCTATTCTAATGTGAACTGTCTCACAGGCTGTGAAATACTGAATTAGGCTTTGCAAACTATATCTTCAAGAAACAAGTATGTCTAGGTAAAACTTGGTTCAGATGTGAACCTTACTTTGTATAATTTATACCAGCTTCCAATTCTGCAATGCATAGACTACACTCTACTTTTCTTCAGACTAGAGAATAAAAGTTACTTAGGCTGCGCCTTCACTGTTACAAAGATATGCTTTTATCATCAGATAAACATGTAGTAGCTCTTCAGCTAAAAACCCTAATGAAGACCATGCCCTTTAATTTTACCGTGAGGCACTACAGGCAAGTCAGACACGTGGTGCGAAACAGGCTACCTTGTCTCCAATTGGGATTTTACAGCAAGATACATTCTTTATCTTTCTATTAAAAAACCCCACCTGTTTCACTGAAGATGAACACAAGACTTGCACCTACTTGCCTTTGCATTATTTACAAGTAGTACCTTGTTTGAATTGAGCCCTTAATCAGCTTCAAGGTAATGTTTGATTCTTAAGAATAAAGCCAGATGATATTGCTGAGATAGGAAGATCTCCTGTATCCTAGCAGAATGCTAACTTACAACTTTCAAACTACTAATATTTGCCTTCCTCAAAAGGGACAGTGCTATTTTGCTTTCTGGAGGTCTGGACATCTGCCACATCAGCCATTCTAAAGCTGAGCCATTGCAGCATTAGTTCAGTTGTACTTTATATTCCACTGGAATATTAAAGGACTTACTTACATGTTTATTACCTAATGTTATCAGTTCTCAGTTCTCCACCCTGGTCAGCTGTCTGCTGCATCGAATACAACGTCCTGCTGTTGGTACACATAGTTTCATTTTGTATGTATACTGATCATATGCTTCTTCCATGAACAATCTTTAAATTCTTTCTATGGGACAATCTTTAAATATATGATCTCAGTGTAAAACAGTTTATAATATTACACTAAATTTTTGTACTAGCTTAGCTTTTTCTAAAGTCTGATATAATTCTGCCAAGATCATCTGGGAGACTAGAATCAAGTCATGCCTACTTGGCACCAGAAAATTCAGTTTTTTAAACTGAAGTGACTCAATTTCTCAACATTTCATAAAAATTAAGAGGACACTATTACAATTGTGAAGGAGAGGAAGATGACCACGGGACTTGATGCTGGAGTTGGCATATGTGCAGCTGGTCTGATATGTCAGATCCCAAACATTTCTACTTACGTCCTTATTCCCCCCAATTAAATGTCATTAAAATAGCAGTGACTGAATGGAATACTTTTTTGGCTTGACTCTGGATTCTGTCATTATGAATATTATTTGGGCTGCATCATCAAGTCTGTAGCTGAAATTTGACATTTGAAATCTGTAGCTCATATCATAAGAAGCTGTAATGATGCTTCACATAACGTAATCCGTCTTCCTGTGCAATGTAGTTAACTTTCTGGAATTAAAATCTATTTTGAAATCATAATGTTAACGAAGAATGAGAAACCTATGCTAAAAATGCCTTGCTCAACTACTGACTATGCTGTTTGAAACGTTATGTTTTCAAGCTATCTTGTCTTTAATAGTGTGTATGTTTTGTATATGGTTTCAGAGCAGTACGGAGTAAAAGCCATGATGGCAAATACTATCATTACTGAAGTTTTTAATCTTCTCTTTAACTCACTTGGTATTTCCTTTCTGTCCTTTCCAGAATGTGGATACACCAGTCACCAATCCACCAGAAGCAGCTGCACTTTTTAATTTACATCAAGCACACCATTTTGGTGAGTTTGAACACTCTTCAGAACAAGACTGCAAGCAGGATCTGTTCCCCAAGTGGCACTTGCCAGTGAAGATAGCATCTGTGATCTCATTATTAACATTTATTTACACTTCTCTGAGAGATGTCATATATCCTTTTATAACCAGAAAGGAAAATGTTTTCTATAAAATTCCAATCCTTGTCATAAACAAAGTTTTACCAGTGGTTTCAATTACTCTTTTAGCACTGGTATATTTACCAGGAATATTAGCTGCTGGTTTCCAGCTGTACTTTGGCACCAAGTATAAACGGTTTCCCCAGTGGCTGGACAGATGGATGTTATCAAGAAAGCAATTTGGACTTCTCAGTTTCTTCTTCGCTGCAATGCACGCCTGCTATAGCCTATGCTATCCAATGAGAAGATCATACAGATACAAGCTGCTGAACTGGGCATTCCAGCAGGTATGATGGGCGCACAAATACCAACCCTTCTGTATTCAGAAAATCCTTCTTTTCATCATTCAAGCAAATGTGGATGGGGGGAAAGCCATTTTCATTGTCTTCGTTGGATTTTGAAGCAGATCCCCACAGAGCACTGTTGAGGGATGGAGCAGGACTTAGTTGTTAAAGCATGTAATAGAGAGTTAAAAGTCATCACAGCTGTGCCAGTGTGTATTAAATAAGCAATTTGCTTCATTTGAGATTTTTTATCTCTCTGTAAAATGCACATAATTATACCTGCCTCACAGGAACATTTAAGTCTTTGGCACACTATCTGTTTAGTGTGGATTAATCTTGTCTGCACCAGTGGAATCTAACTATCTACAAAAACTGAGCACACACTATTTTTAGACATCTTCTTTGTAAAATGAATTAGCCAGCAATGAAGGAGGGCTGAGCTAAATCACAACAACATGTATTTGCCAGAAACTAAATTTTTGAGCACTGATGGCTCCACAATTGGGCTGATGCACACTGACTTGCTGAAAGATAGAATTTCAGTCATGCTTCTGAGTCATGGGCAATAATTGGCTGGCGAAAGCTCTCTAAGATCCTCTGTGACTAGACAGTTCTTAATACTTGCCTATTGCCTTGAGTGCCATGAGTATTGCAGTATAAGGTATAGACTGCACGTGTCCTTTTTTATTACCCTCAAAGTCTAATCTAGAGTTTTATGAAAAGCACAGTATGATGTTAGCAGCTTCTTAAGAATTCTGTAAACAGTCTAACTACCTGTTGAAAACTCTGACATTAGCCTTACTGGTAATCTAACTTCAATGGATTACTAGAAATTTCCTTGAGATTCCAGTCCTCAAGAAGAGGCTGTCAGCTCTGGGGGCCCCAGTACAAGAAAGACATGGAGTTGTTGGAGCGAGTCCAGAGGAGGGCCACAAAGCTGATCAGAGGAGCTGGAGCACCTCTCCTATGAGGACAGGCTGAGAGAGTTGGGATTGTTCAGCCTGGAGAAAAGGCAGCTCCGGGGAGATCTAATTGCGGCTTACCAGTACCTGAAGGGGCCTACAGGAAAGCTGGTGAGGGACTGTTTATCAGGGAGTGTAGTGACAGGACAAGGGGTAATGGGTTTAAGCTGAAGCAGGGTCGATTTAGGTTAGATGTTAGAAAGAAATTCTTTACTGTTAGAGTGGTGAGGGACTGGAACAGGTTGCCCAGAGAGGTTGTGGATGCCCCATCCCTGGAATTGTTCAAGGCCAGGTTGGATGAAGCTTTGGGCAACGTGGTCTAGTGGAAGGTGTCCCTGCCTGCAGCAGGGGGTTTGGAACTAGATGATCTTTAAGGTCCCTTCCAACCCAAACCATTCTATGATTCTATATGATTCTATGAAGAAATTATCATATTTGGGGCATATGACACCATGGTGATCACTAGCAGCATCAAAGGGCTGTTGCAATTACTCATAAATAGGAGAAGCTTTGACATCAGTTTATTAAAACAACCTTTTCATCCATACCAATGATCATATTCAGTGCAGTTGAATGTACCAACTTGTTTTTAAAAAAATAGAGCTAAACAACTCTCCTGGCAGGATACCATCATTAAGAATATCTGCTGAATTAGCTCCCTAAAATAGTGCTGTTAATATATTTCCTGTTGTTATAATCTCCCAGATATGGTATTTAGCCATAGGTGGAATTTTCTTGGCAAAGAATAAGATTTCTCCTGCTGTGAAGGCATGCTAACGTGCCTCAGAACCAGTCTCTCCTGGCCCAAGATGCTGATGAAGTCTAAATTCTTCTCACTTAAAGCCCACCTTTGTTCCACACATACTAGTGGAGACTTTGTTATCAGAACTGAACAGCAGTTACATTCAGAGACATTCAAACAAACAAAAATACTGTGTTTCTTGGCTTATTTCCTGAACATTATGGTGAAAATAGCTGTATTTCAAACAAATGGCTAAGTGTGCCAGTCTGTCATTTTAAATAAGGTGTTCTTTTGGCAGGTCAAACAAAAAAAAGAAAATGCCTGGATCGAACACGATGTTTGGAGAATGGAGATTTATGTCTCTCTAGGAATTCTGGGACTTGCTTTGCTAGCCTTGTTGGCAATAACATCAATCCCATCCGTCAGTCACTCTTTGACCTGGAGAGAGTTCCACTACATTCAGGTACACGTAAATGTCATTATTGCATGTCATTAGTCCGCATTTATAGGACTGTATGTTATCAACTAAGACCATTAGGAGTTAGAAATATCAAACACAGAGCGCTTAGTGAAACCAATCTAAAAGTTTGTTCCGTACTCCTTGTTAATTGCTTTGCAAGAAATGTTAATTTCATTTGTAGTATTTTGTCAGAGGAAAAGGCTGTCAGGTTCAGGGTATGAAGTGGGAAGACAGACAACTCCAAACCACTTTTTTGCTCCTCTGACCTGGTGACCAGCAGCAGTTTTCCCTTCAGGACCTATTTTTAGGTCAAAGACCTCTGGGCTGAAAGCATTTCAGTCATCTGGGCATCTTATGTTTCAGGAACGCCCGGTGTCCTAAAAAGGTATTGAACCAGCCAACCCTGTTCCCATACAACATGGGATTCCACTACACAAGGAGAATTGCTTGTTGCTCTCTTGGAGCTGTTTTGGCAATTCTTTACTGCCTGAGCAGTACCAGGTGGCTGGAAGGTCCAGGAGAAGACTTCTGCCCAATCATACAGGCAAAGGTTTTCCGTCTGCAGCATTATTAGTTTCATAACCCCCTCCAAAAAGGTGTATTCTGAAAAGGAGACATCTTAGAACACATGCATAATCAAATCCAGCCAGGCCTGAGTTTGCTACAGATGTGCTGGTTTCATTCACCTAAGTATCTGTTTGCTCTTAGTTATACAAATTATATGCGGTAATAATCAGAGGTGGTTCTGCTGGCATCAATATGATAACGCTAGAGTTAAGCAAGTGTTGAATTAGATCCCTGAACACCAAAATCTGAAAATTCAATGACCTACTAAGTACCTGGCATTTGAAAATTTGATCTGTATTTGAAAAGTAGATCTGAAATGTATATCTTCCTACAATTAGTGATTTGAGATTCTGCCCACTCTGTGAAATGCATAAGTTGTAAGAAAAGTTTTCAGCTCTGCAGAGAATCTATATGGACACGTCTAGTGTATGATTGTTTTCAGTATTAAATTGGCATGGTGAAGAAACCCAGAAGAGTAATACTAATACAGTAGATAGATAAGTTTTATAAACAAATAACCTTTATATTTGAAAATCAGATTCTGTAGATTTAGCACCTGGAAAGGCAGACTTCACTGATGACAAATTCCTTTTTTTCTAACAATAACAAGATTGTTATGCAACAGGAAACTCAAAATTACTAGTAACTCTAGCATAAAATTTCCTTTACTTCTGTGTTTTGTAGACATCCTAAGCCAAATTTATCACTGTAAGTGGAATGAAAGACTTCAGTTTCCTATAGTTGTGCAATTGCTTTTGTCATAGTACTGGACTTACTAGAGTTTCTGATTTTAATTTGCCTTAAAATTTTTACTTGCAAGCAATCAGGCTATTTATAAATCTGCTTTTGAACTCATAATAATTTATCACAGAAGTAAAGTAATTTAGGATACAGATGACATCTAGAGAATTGACTCTTTTTCAAGAATAGCCTGTGATCTGTGATCTCTTCTGTATGTTAGCTAAGTATCATAGCAGTAGTTAAAAAATGTGCCTCATCTGTTTTCTCTTACGGTGGCATAGAGGTGTACAGTTGGATTCTTGAATTATAGTTCTTAAATTTTAGTTCCAAGCCAATGGTCTCTTTTCTTTGATTTAAGTGTGTTGGTTGAGGCCCTTCCTGATTTCCATATTTGCTTAACAAATGCTTTTTTGCCAAGTTGGAAAAAATAAACAGCTTACTATTTTATTTCTCTTTTCAGAGCAAGATGGGATATTTAGCTCTGCTGCTATGCACTGTTCACGCACTGGTGTTTGCTTGGAATAAGTGGGTTGATGTTAACCAATTTGTCTGGTATACACCACCTTCATTTATGGTAGCAGTTTTTCTTCCTATTGTAGTTCTGATTGGTAAATGCATACTGTTCCTCCCGTGTTTTAGGAAGAGGATAAAAAAGATCAGATGTGGTTGGGAAGCCAACACACAAACCAATCAAATCAGCATGACTTCCAGACTGTAGATCCAGTATGGACATTTCCTGTCTATGTATGTAAATACGCTCAAGGCCATGAAATGTTCACTTGTGAGCTCTGTTTTCATATTTTCCATAGGTGTTTCTTTTTCACTTTTCATTTCGACTTCAGGAGTATGGGATACTTGATACAATTTAGACCTTCTCTAAGACAGAAAGTGGAAACATTCATTTTACACTTTGATCTATTCGGTGTCTATTTGATCATTTCTTTTTTCTGACTCACTGCTTTTAAAATCCAAGGGCTTCATTGCCTCAATAGTAATTCTTTCATAGGCAAAAGCAATCATAAATCATTGCTCCAGATGGCCACAGAAAGTAAATAAATTATTACACCACAGAACCCAGGAATGCTTTCTGCTTCCCACTGCCATGTTTGTTCCTTTGTTAAAACTCAGTATTATAATGGGACAACAACTTGCGTATTTATCATCCCACTCCCCCTTATCGCCTGCATCCTATGTTTCACTCTGCAGAATGGGGACCTTGGCACATGAGCCAGACAGAAACTGTGTATTCCCACCAGGTCGTGAACTTAGACAATTGGACAAGCAGAATTGCAGGGAACTTTACAAGGTAAATCTCTCCTGAGGCTTGGTCACAGTCTAAAAAAAGAGTTTTTAGACTTAGATCTCCATCTTTTAAAGGACTAGGTGTGTCTCTGTTTACTTAAAACGATAAAACATTTCTTATTTTTTATTCCATGAACACGTTCTTTTGTTTCTGATGCTGGAAATTTTCCATGCTTTTGACCTAAGCCTGCTGCCCTTGACATGCGCTAAACTTTATTCACACAAATTATTCCAGTGGGATAGCTCGCATCAGGTAAATGTGTTATACTGTTTACTCTAGGGCCAGCACAATTGTGTGACTGGAAGAAAAACATTAAAAATAGACATTTGAATCTTAATATTGATTTGGTGAGATTTTCATGTAAAATGGCTTCTGAATGCATTTGCTTTTACAAAAATTTTCGTATAAGCTAATTAAGCCTTACTTTCCTTATGTTGCACAGGTCTGGCTGAATGTTTTAAATGAATAATTCATTCGTTAGTATCTATTTTTAAATATGCTATGCAGTAGTTAATATTTTCACCCAGCATCAGGAGCAATTCTGCCAGTCTCCCTGCATGAGTTGACTAGGACGTCATGATGCCACCTATTGCTGGGCTCATCTGAATGAGAATTGTAACTGGTAATGGCTCTGGTATTAAAACAAACAATGTGTGCATAAAAAATATCTAATAGATGGTGCTAATGATTCTGCAGCTAATGATTCTGTTTTACATTTGTGGACTTGGTACACTGAGCATAAATAACAGACAAATTAAATATCTACAGGGATACTACATTTTGTATTTTCCTGGTTATAACTCCATTCAATTATTGCAACTTGAAAGTTGGCCTTGTTATTTGCACTTAATGTAGTACTGTGAAAATAACTGGGGACATGGTGGCCTGTATAATATAGACTGAAGAGAAATGAGTGGCATTGTGTATCAAAGCAGTAACGCATGACAGAGGCAAACACTCTCTAAACCACAGGAAGCTAGTCTACAATGTGAATCTGAGAAATTTTCAACAGAACAGGAAACGTGTGGTTGTCAGTGTATTAGCATTTACATTTCTATAAATGAAATAAAATCTTTTAGAAGTCATATTAGGGATAAAGAATAATATTTGCCAAAGGCTTATGCAGAATATTACCTGCACTTTGTTGTCAGGAGTCATAAAAAATAATAAAATAATTCTACTAATGGAACAGGTTGAGGCAAGTGCAATGATAAAGAAATCCCTTCGTCTTCTGTATTGTCCGCTAGCTACTCGTACTTACTACTCAGGGCAAAGCTGAGACTGTAAGTACTCCAAGCAACTCCTGTATGCATCCACTGAAAAGAATGACATTTGGTTTTATCGAAATATGTTCTAAATTGTGTTAAATTGTGCTCTCCAGAATCAGCCCTGCTACTTAGAAAGTCTGGAGAATTTAATTCAATCTCCAGCTTTGTTAAATTCTGGTCAAATAGTTGGACTAATTGTTTACAGCTGGTCAGAGAAGCCAATGCTTTGGCACAGAGGAATATAAACAGCTTCAGGGGTAACAAAGCATGTGGTGCAGAGAGCAGAACCTCACCCTTGATCACTGAAAACTGAAAAGAGGCGAATAAAGACACTCCCTGAAAGAAGCAGTTCAAAGCTATTCATATGGCATGTATAAAACAAAATCGAGGCAAATTAATATCTGTATGCATTTAGAGAACAAAATAGTTCAGGGGAATGCTAGTGGGCTTCAAGGCTTTTCACCATCACCACCATTACCAACTGAAAGCTTTTTCATAACAGGGCTTTGTTATGGATCAGTTAGATCAGTGAACATTGAGTAGAGGAGTATGGTCAACATGGTTATGAAGTTAATGGAAACTGGAAGTTAAGGTTCTGTGCCTTTGGAGTCTGCATCTTACAGCACAGCAGTAGGATTTAGGTCAATAAGTCACTTTTGAAAATGGGACTTTAATGCCAAAGTTGGTTTGGCCTTTCTGAAATTTTTGTCCAAATTTTTAAAACATTGTCTCTCTGAATCTGTAAGATATTATCTAATTTGGAGACTAACAGACAGATCATTATTGCAGAAAACACTATAGGTACCACTGCTAGAAAACAGACCAAGAACTCCATGAAGATGTAAATATATTAGCTATATTCAACACTTCATAAAGAGTTTTTGAGACGTCTGTTCTAATACATCTTTATCCAAGCAGCAGGAAGGAACTGTTGTTTGTACCATTGTATTTAGTGCATAAAATCAGAACAAGACACACAACAAGCACAGAACTCCTTTAAGGAAGTACTAAAGAACATGTATGTACATGTGTATCTTTACTTATCTTCTATTCATGTTGCAGCAGTGATAAATTTAGATTCATCCCACTTCGAGTGGCTGAGAAATCATGTCCTTATGAAACATTCTATTGTAATACCCTGCTCTATGCACTTTTTTACACAAGGTAGTGCAAACTAGCATAACTTCATTAATTTCGATCTGTTAATATGGGTTGAAATCCTAACATAAATTACAGATGAAAACCAATTTCAAGATCATCATATATTATCCAAACTGACCTTTTACGCTCATCATTCAGCTGAGGACATTAAGCACACTTCAGATTTTTCTCTCCAGCATTGTGCAGGGGCAAACCCAGAAGTGACTTCTGCCAGCTGAAATTTGCATACCATCTATGAAAGCTGTTCCTAAAATCACACATAACATCCAAACAGTCAAGCAGTTTTTCCCTACTGATTGTCTCAAGTAGGACCCAGGTTTTCTGTATCATAGTGTGATGGGTTGACCCTGGCTGAGGGCC